GAGCATTGAGATGTTGTAAAATGGATTTTAAGATATCTCTGCGACACTACTTCTACGAGGCTTTGTTTTAGAGGAGATAAACCTACTCTATTGGGGTAATATGACTCTGATATGGTTAGAGACACTGATTCCAGAAAGTCCACTTCAGTCTATATGATTAAATTTACAGGGGGAGTTGTTGCTTGACAGTCCAGATTGCAAAAGTGTGTAGCACTATCTACTGTAGAGATTGAGTTCATTGCAATTACCGAAGCATGAAAAGAGTTACTATGGTTGAAGAAATTTTTGCAGGAGTTTGGTTTTGTTCAAGACAAATATGTGTTATTTGTATAGTCAAAGCGCTATTCATGATCTTGGTAAGAATACAAATTTTCATAATAGCTTCAAACACATTGATATGAGATATCCTTGAATATATGATGTTTTGGATACTAAGGTGTTGGATTTAGCTAAAATTCATACAGATGATAATGGTTCTGATATGATGACTAAAGCATTACCAAGAGGAAATTTTGAAGCTTGTTGTGATATTACCGATTTGGCGATTTCCTCCATATAGTTGTAAGGGGGAGATTTGTTGGGTCTGGACTCCCTTCCTATGTGAAGAAAGATCCAAATATAATTAGCCTATTTTTATGATATGTTTAATTGGAGAGGATCAATTTAGGGTTGAGAGAGATAGATAAAAAGTAAGGATTCAAAAGAGAGAAAAGATGAGAGAAACTCACTCTTATTTTTCTGCAACCAGTCTCACTAAATCGACGATCTCTGATTTGTTAACCGTTAGATCGAGCATAAATTTGGAGAGAAGGTTCGCGACACATATATCTAACTTTTGACCGTTTAGAATTTCAAAACAACGTCTGAGATGAAAATCATTTGCCTCGCACTAAGCTGCAGATTTGGGAAAAAATTTCAGCTTTTTTATTCTTATTTGTAAGCTAGATTGCTTTGTGATTTGCGCTTGTTAGCACTACTTTGTAATCACTTTAAGACTCTCTTGTACCCTTAATTGATTATAGTGGAATTATTTCTTTGGTATGGACGACTCATGGTTTTTACTCTCATATTGAGGGGGTTTTCACGTTAAAAATATCAGTGTTCTTTTGTGCCTTTATTTGTTCAATTTGTCGTCTTATATTTGTTGGTGATCCTTAAGGTGCCTACAAGATTGAGGAGTTTATATCCGCTGCGTATTGATCTATATTGTGTCTTAATTTTCCATCAGAGGTTCCTATTAGTAAGACTAGAGATGATGAGGTAATTAAGACTCTTGTTTGCAGTACTATTAAGGGGCAACACATAGTGAGTTTTAATTATCAGTTGACTCATGATAGAATTAGGAGGAAGATTGTACCACCTTAAAGATACGATTTTACGGAGATCTAATCTCTTATGCTTTTAATGTGGTTGAAAGATTGTAATACTCATAACCAGAGACCACCAAGAAATCAGAGAAATAGTCAAAACCAAATAAAGACAAAGATGGTTGAAGATTCATACTTATGGACTTTTTAGACTATCTAAGTAGTAAAAAGAGTGCAAGTGGATACAAGTAGAAAAATCAAAGTTAAAGATGATTCATGGTTAAATTAACATCATTGTCGGTTTAGAGTCAAGGTGGAGACTTGTAAAAGAGTGCTAGAAAATCTTTAAAATCTTTATGGTGAAGAGAGAAAAACATGTTGTGTGATTGTTAGAAACTAAAGGCATTAAAATCGCAAAAACAACAGCAGAAGTCAACGTCGAAAGAAAAGCTGCAGAGCGGCAATTTGGCGAGTCAACGTTGGTCGGGAGAGCCAATGACAGGTGAGCGAGGACGGTGGACTCCAATTTGACTCCACAGTGATGGAGGTTTGACTGCGATAGCTCAAATGAGTTACATGTTGAATCTGGTCGGTCCACACATCAATTCAATAATAAACTGTATTTTGATAGTGTTAAGATTTTAACCGTTTTAAATATGATTTTCTTTCCCTTGTTGTCTGTTAAAGTTATGTGTTTTATCATATTAAGGTTTTTGATTTCTGAAGTATTAAATATAATTCTCCTTCACAATGTGAGATTTTGTTTTTGTAGACATTATTTTATTGTATCATGTGTCCTTTGTTCCTATTTTCTGAATATATTTTTTCAAAAAAAGAAATAACATATCAACTTGCACCCACTTAAAAAATTGAGTGGTATAAATTAACCACATAAAATAAAGTTAAATTTACAGAAACTATTGCATCTGGACCAAGAGAGGGCTCCATTTGATAAGCCTGCAGAAAAATCAGCATACCTTTAGCCGACACAAATCAAAAAAGTTTCAACAAATGTTCATGCACATTGTTCATTTCACATTCACACCGTTATTGATTATCATCACACCAAGTAAAAAACATTCCAACATGAAAAAGAATCTTAGTAAATTAGGCCTATGCCTCCTCGAGCATAAAGTAACCAAAACCAAAACCATAAGTCAAAAGTAACACCCTGAAAATGCTACTAAATCTTTATTCATAACTATTACATAGAATCAAATTTGTATCCTTCTAGGAGCAACAACAACATGCCGCATCCAAGCAGCATTCACATGTCTCATAGCAACAAAAGCAGCAACATAAGCCAAACAAGCTGTGAAAAATGAGGGAAAAAATGAAACAATTATTAATGTTGAAAAGAAAGAGGCCAAAATGATGTGGTATTTGGTAAGTGGCGACAACAATAATAACAAAAAATAGTTAATAAAGAACAAAAGCAACAATGTTAATTGCTAACTATACAAACCAAGCATAAAGACAGCCTTTTTCTTCATGGCGTTTGTGAACCTGTTCCACATAACTCATCTCTTGGTGTACGAGAGGTTCATCCATTTTTATTTCTTGGGAATAATTGAAAAACTATGTTAGTGAGGAATAATAAATTGGTGTATAAACATATACAATATATAGAGGGTGAAAATTTGATAGAAAGTTTTTTTTTTTTTTTTTAAATTTAATTTCTTGCAATTTATGTGGTATGTTGAGCCATGTAATTATATTTGTGGAGGTTATGGAGCCATCCCCCAAGTTGTATAATATCTTTTATATCAACCAAACTTCTTCTCTACCATTCTACACTTTTTTGTTTCTTTTCTTTACTATGTTTGAATGAGGGTTGCTTGGACTTTGGAATGATAATAGAAAATAATAATAAAAATTGTTTACATAAAGAAAATCTATATTGATTGAGAATAGAGACGACCCAAAAATAATTTATAAATATCACTCACTCAAATAATTCATAAATACAAAAATAAAATTTATAGAAAATACTAGTACTATTTAACGGTAAATCTTAGAATGGCGGTTGAATCTATTCTTCCTTATAAATTCAATTTATAATGTAAAAATTGTCCCTCATTTATAAATATATAATCATCATAAAATGTGAGACTCTTACTTAGATATCATAAAATAATTCGTATTTACGGATATCCATTTGAGCCCGTCCTGAAATTAACAGGAAAAATCTGTTTTAACTGAGTTTGGGTTTAGATTTGAGTTTTCTTCAATAATAAAATATAGGGATAGTCGGATAATGGGAGTACTATTACTCAGCTTGAACCACTCCGAATCTGCCTGGCTGCCCCGTTCACTTTATTATGTAGATTATTATTTAGTTTTGATAATTTAGAATATTAAATATATGATTAATATTTTGATATTTTAATTTGTATTTATTATTTAAAATATTTATAATGTATGTATAAAATTTTTTGAGATTATTTTATTTTATTATCTATAATGTAATTTAATATTGAAAAAATTAAATTCTTCTATTAAAAAAAATTAGGTTTTAATTCTTCATCTCCCCGTTTGAATTTGGGGCGGGGAACGATGATCATTTGGGCAATTGAGTTTGAGTTTGGAGAGGTAAAAACCGTCTCCGACCCGCCCCATTGTTATGCCTACTCTTAAAACACCTTTTCACATCTAAAACTAAATATCTAGAGCATGAACATAAATGGTTGGTAGTCCAATAACAAAAATCTGATGGCAAGTTGTTCATTAGAAGTTGAATCAGCTTTGATACCGTCTTAGAATGGTGATTGAGTCTAACTCAATTTTATAAAACTAACTTATAAAATGAAGATTATCCCCTAATTTTAAACCTTATGTGAAATTCTTAACAAAAACATATACCAAAAAAGCTTACCTTGCTTAAGAATCAAAACTAAAGTTTATAAACACTCATAAGAAGTCACACAAAGGTGAGTATTATTATTATGTGCATTCATAGTTAACTTTTACTCCCTTAAACCTCATTCTTTAATCCACTTTGATGGGAATTTATCTTTTAACTTTGTGGCCAATTTTAACTGTTATTGGAAAGAAAAGATAAAGTGAAATAGTACACCAATACCCTTTAACCAAATAATTGTCCCTTGTCTCATTCTTTTACTATTTCTTTTACCAACCTGAAAATCCGGAATGAACCACTATAGGCTTTTACATGAATAGAGAGTAGTAGGTAATAAAACAGACAAGGAATGAATGAATGAACATACACATAAAATTTGACTTGGCATTTAGGAAGAGAAATGCATAAAACATTCACATAGCATATAGTAGCCAATGAATGTAATAGCATAATAGCACTGAAATGAAACTCTTGCACACTGGCAAGGGAAAATGTGGGCCATAAGGTAACAAAAGATGAAACAGTTGTTGTTTCTGACACTGCATCATATAATTGCATTCCATGCACGAATGAACCACCGACACATAAACACCCCCCACCATCATTGTAACATGTTTCCTCATGAATCCTCCAAAACAACACCTAAGCAAAAACAACACAAGTTTTGAAGATGTTGTGTTGTTTGTTGTTTCTACTAGATGATGATATTGGTATCATGATATGTTTTATGCGTTGCATACTCTATTGCCAAGTGAGAAAAACAAACACCACTATGTAAATTAGAACCAACAACCTCTTACAAATCATTCAACAACATAACTCAGAAGTTTCAACTAGCATGCCACTGAGCATGTAGCAGTAGCTGGTTTTACTTGGAGTAAGATATCGGCACCGCTTATGGATTGGACGCCGGTAGCGGCTTCTTCTAGACGTTCCCATGTTATTCTTCGTCTCTCGGCTACGTCGCTTGACTTCAAACCTTCCTCTTCGATCTTGCGTTGGCAGGCGAGTACGAGTTCCTCGTCCATCTGAGATAGCATTTTCCTTATGTTCTGAGTTAGGTTCAGCACTGCTTGATTCCAGTGATTCTGTGAGTTATGTACAAGTGCTGAGAAAACGAGAGGCAGAATCACTTGTCGGTTTTGAGTTATAAGATTCAGAATGTGCTCGTTGTTCCATAGCAAATGAGCTCGTTCCGCCACCTGAATCAATAAATACATCAGTATAAGCTATAAATTATAATCGACGTTCTTCATAGCCCTATAAGTAAACTATAAATTGCACGTGAATCAATAAACACGCCAATATAAACAAACTAGAAAGATGACCGGCGTAGAAAAACAACCTGGTAATGTGAGCTAGTGAGGCAGCAAGCCAGTCGTCGAAACAGCGGCACCATAATCTTCTTGAATTCATCCATGCTAGTCATTTCCAAAACCTCTTCCAACTCACTCATGAACATAAGCTCCTTTTGGCTATTTGTAACTGGCCAATACTTCAGTAGTCCTTTTATCACGGAGCTAACCAATCTTTGATCCTTATCTATGAACTGTACAATGCAATATGTTAACTGTTGATGGTAAATTCCGATAGATTTCGGTTTGTGCAAAGGAATTAAAGCCTTCCACAAAAATATTTTATGCTCTTCCTTCAACGGCATGGCAAATCCACTAATAACACTCCCAAAAATCTCCAATAGCTCGGCAATTCCACTATGCCGCTCGGTTTCAAAAACAAACCGGTAGATAATATTGCTAACCGATTTCCTTATAAACGGCCTGTGAACCATGAATTTCCCGTAGATTCTATGCAGAACTGTTTTCAAACAATCTCTTTCTCTAGGGTCCTCGGAATCAAAAAGGTCAAGTAATCTTAAAACAAAAGCATGATCTACGTGCGATTTCGCAAGCTTCACATCAAGAGAATTGTAATTGATGAACTGAAGGAGTAGATCATAAACAACTTGCAGGTGAGACCAAGCAGGATCAAACATTGGTTCTTCATCTTCTGTTTCTCCACCACCACTACTCGAACGAAACTTAGGTGGAAAAACCCTGAACAAATTTGCCGCACACATTTTACACAACGCGGCAATTGCTGGTTCCGTAAACTTAACAGAACCAGATGAAACAAAATCAACAAGGTCTAACAACGTTTGCCGTTTAACATCTTGCTCACTACAGTTCTTATCAGGATCACTCATATCGTAAACTTTGCAGCAAAGATTCAACTTACTGATAAAAAGACTTTGTTTCTGCGTATTCGAAACATCTTTGAACGATAAAGAAGGATCAACCGCCTCCACTCCGGAATTCACACTTGCAGGAAAAACAACAGAAGATACCCTTTTCACAACATTTAATTTACTCGAAATTGTACTTCCAACATTCGTGCACTGAAACACGTTCCCAAAACTAGTAGTACTATTGCCAGAATCACTCTTTGCAGAATCTGACGAGTCCGATTTCGGTAACTTCTTAGGCAATTTGCTAAGAATTTGCTTTATCATTGTGGCAATGCTACAAGCCTAACCTATAACACCTGCATCCAACCCAACTTATCCAAATCAGTTCATAGAATAAAAATCTTTCAATACTTTAAAGCTCAAAATCAAATCCTATGAAGTCATTAAGCTGATTTAACAAAATCTTATGCAAGACAGAAAAAACATAGGTATAATTGAGGATAATCAAAACATAGGTATAGTTGAAATATGATATTCAAGGATATGTTTTGAGAACAAGAACAAAATCCTAGCCAGATCTAACAACCATGAATCAATTTGTTCCACAAGAGATGACAGAATTGAGTACATTTGGTTGAATCTTGGTAAATTCCAACCACAAACAATAACTCAAGATACACTGTTCCAAATACAAAGCCAAAACAAACTCATCTTAAACTTAACAACTTTCTGCAAATCAAGAGAAAGTAAAATCTAGAAACTAACAAACCATTAATGAAGAAGAAAACTTTTGAAACTTTACAGTAACATCAATAATGGGTGGGAAAAACTGAGATCTGGGGTGTATAGATAGATAGAAAGAAAAAGAAAAAGCAAGCTCAACCACTTGAGGAACCATTAAAGATATTGTACCTCACAAGATCCTCACCAAACCAGCTATAAAATTTCAAAATAAAAATAAAAAAATAAACTTTAGCACATAACAGTAACAAGAATTAAGATAAAATACAAGGTGAGTTAAGAACAAGAAGAGTGAGTGATGAGAAAGAGCAAGAAACCTGATTTGTGTGAGAAGTTGAGAGAGTGAAAGAGGACTAGATAGAGGAAGAAAGAGAGGATTTTGAAGATGAATAATGATTCATGATGAGAATGGATGAATGGTAGTGATGTGAGTAAGCTCAAAGTTTTGGTTCCTCGATTGAAGAGAATAAACGATGGGACATGTTATGATGTTTTTAATGTTGAAATGTGTTTGTTTTGTTAACTCATATTATTCATAAACAAAACAAACACAATCGTCATTCGTCACAACAACAACAACAAGAGTCCAATCACACCACCGAACCAAACTTCAAACTTTTTTACACTATTGCAAAATTACCCTCGCTTTATTGGATATTTATATTTGTAAACTTTTATGTACCGGACAAATAGGGGGATAGAGGGTATGTATGCATTACGTAAAGTGAAAATGTAAAGAAATGAATTTGCAAAATCGAGGCTAGATATTTGGAATTTGGGAGTTAGGAATGAGTGAGTGACAAATAAAAAAAAAGTTATTTGATTTTATTTCTAAAGGTAAAATCAGTAGGAAAAAGATATAGAGACGAAAAATAAAAATACGTCAACTTATAAGAATCTAATGATTATTTAAGTTTATAAAAATATTCTCTCAATTTTAAAATAACACTCGTTTGAGATTTTTGCACACAGATTAAAAAATATGATTATATTGTCATAACACATTACATTTTTATTAAATTAATCTTATAAATATGTTAAAAATAATGGACTGAATAATAGTTAAAGAACACAATTAAAAGGATAACAATCATTTATATATTAAAAAGTGAGAATGATATTTATTTTAAATTTTTCTTTTGTTGTTGTTAAAACCGTTTTTATTTATAAACGAAGGTACTAAAGAAATAGGAGGTGTGAGGTGAATGTGGGAAGAGAACAAAATTGAAAAGTGAGAGACAAAGTCACAGTAAACACAAATATTTTGTTTGAATTAAACACTACTAGATTTCATTTTAACTTTTTGGGACAATCTTTCACCAGCTTCCATTCTTTCTCTTCAGCACTACTAAAATCATGTCATCTTTATTGTTTACCCTAGATATATTAGATGGTCAACATAAAAGTTTGCCTTCGATTGTTCCACCTTATTCTCTAACCAAGACTCACATCTCATAGAAAAAACACACTGGCAATAGCTTCACAGGATCTCATGTTAACCATATCGTCAAAAATCATGTACGTGTCAAATTTCTACAGTTAGAAAATGTTCAGAATAAACAATCAAAATACTCTCCAAAACTGCAAATAAACAAAGACATCGAATTTATGGTGTATGGAGAAGATGATGTACATAATATTATTAAAACCTAGCCATCATGCATAATAGAAAAGATGATTACAGAAAAGCCTATACACACAAGATCGATTCAGGTAGCATTATCAAACATTTGTTGCAACCCAAAAGATCCTATTGTTAATGAAATCGATCATAATATTTTTAAAATTTTCATGGGCAGTCTTGACTATCACAATAGTATATTGAAAGGTAGCTCATGGATCTTTAGAAATATTTTATTTTTTCTATAAGAATGAGATGTGAGGGTAGCTCTACAATTCCTAGATTCCACTCATGTTATCATATGAGCCAAACTGATTATAAATACACAAGAAGGGGGTTGAACTATGTATGTTGAAATTCGTTTCGATTATGAACTCTAGATTTCAGTCATCCTATCATATGAGTTATGGATATTGGTATCTTAACCAATATTCAAGTCTTTGATTATGATTTTGCATGTGATGGTAGAGTCGTGGTCTTGCTATTTTTTTAGAAACCTAATGTTTTGTTGAACATTATTGATATGAATAAAATTTAATTAATTTTTATGTTTTGGTTTTTTATAATACTATTATTTGGAGATGTATAAACTTGTAAGGATTTTCTAAGTCTCATAAAAAAAATTAGAATTTCTTATTGCACCTTAGGTGTTTCTAATGCACCGTGTGAATTTTCACATATACCTCTTGATTTCGGAAATACGTCTCCGGACGCACCCAACACACACTCAGCAAAGGTCATTCTGATCTACGCCCTTTCTTTTGGTTTAATTTATTCTGGAGATGCATTTTCGAATTCATTCCGCAGTTACACCTCCGGACACACCCAACACCCACTCAACAAAGGTCATTCTGAGTTACCCCATATCTTTTGGTTTAATTTATTCCGGAGATGCATCTCCGAAATAATTCTGTAGTTACATCTCCGAATTCACACCAGAAACAGATTCAACATATCCAGAATGAAATTGACATTCATAACATAAAATGATCATTACAATGATGATTTCAACAGAAAATTCAATATTACATTTCAATATCCTGATGAACGCTTGCACATCTTCAGGATATCTTTTACCGATCTTTATATCGTTGCTTCCAACTCTAGCAGAACTTTCTCTTTGAAACCAAAAAAATGTATCCCACATGGCCCTAATATCTGCTTGCGTCTTGAGCTTAAACTTGGTGAACTGAATCTTTCACCCGTTGTCAATCGAAGGTGAGCAGTACTCGAGCTTCACAATCTTTTGATTGTCTTTGTAAGGTAGGAGATGGTGGATTTCATCTTTGATATCTTCGAGAGAGGTGAAGTTGGTGAGTTTGGACGTTCTCCCGGGTGTAGAGTCGGAGAAGGACATATTTGCGACATACCAATAGATTTTTATTTGTGACGTTTGAGACATTAATATAGCAATAGAGCACCTAAATTTATAGAAGGTAAAGATCAATTTGGACCATTTATTAGCTGACACATTGGTTCCGAAGATATATCTCCAAAAATGCACCCTATTATCTTGTTCCGGAGATGCATCTCCGGAACTTCTCCTAAACCAGTATCACACGAGAACCATATAAAAGAACTACTTTTTTCCAATTACAATAACAGAAATGTTGTAATGGGAAATATAAAAACAACATAAAGACAAAATATGAAGAAAAGGTGAATATATAACACTTCATTTATACTGAGACACAATTGAATACAATAATTTGTCTGGTTAAACAAGAAATCAAAATGAATCGAAATATACATCGCCGTATAAATCTATAGGTGGTACCCCTTGAAATTTTGTGCATTCGATTATTTTTAAATGTTGTTCAATCTCTCGAATTCTTGCATTATTTGCATAAAATGATACGACCACGTCTCGACTTTTGCGGTTGAATGAGTCGTCCACTCCGATGATGTAAGTTGTATGGGGCATCCCGATTTCAAGTAAACTTGAACAAAATGACTTGATTTTGAAAACCATCCAATACACATGATACGGTCATTTGGATTTTGGGGTGAAACGGTGCACAATGGGAAAAAGGTTTCCGAAAAACTGTAGCGTGTCAGGTCAATACACACTCTATCATACGCACATCCTATTAGGTGATCCGTATTAGCGAAGCTCATCATTTTGCCTCTGGTGCCGGATCGCTCAAGCAAGGAACAAGAGACTCATAAACCACATCGAATTTTTCTTTATTTCCGTACAACCGCGTGTGCAATTCTTTATACATCTTTAACTCTTGGATAAGTTGATGTCGAAAAAGTGCATGACTATCTTGTCCTTTACCGAGTAAAGCCGACACAACTCGATAATCGCAATTACTGTCCCTCACAACATTGATAATCTGCTTGATATATTTGTGCATAAAAACCAGCATCTCGTTAATGAATGGAATCTCCAGTGGAAGTGGCGTCAGAGATTGTTTTCTAATGCGAGCTCCTTTCACAACACTTTTTTGAGAATTTGGAGTTGGTGAGTCGGGAAAAAAATTGTCAACGTGTTCAAAATATGAAGGAGGCCATGTAGTCAAGTTTCCATTTGGTGTAGGCTTTATTTTCTTCAGAGCACATTTTATTTTTACCGATTTAGAAGACAGTTTCATGTCAGTGGTTTCGGGATTGGCAATCTTCCTCAATTTTTCTTTGATGTGAAGTTTTATGTCGTCATCGGCCTTCAAAAATGTCTCTTGTATCACTTCCCATTTGGTCAAAATAGAGATATTTGATTTCCCGTCATCCATACATCCATCATCATCAAACCTAAGTCTCTTCCAATAAGAGCAAACCTCGTCCATTCTTATTGGTTCACCAGTTTCACCTCTTTAGCAATAGTACAAACACACGGGATACCATATGTCTTCATAATAATGCATCCACACTTTGCCTATCAAAGCCTACATTATCAGCTCGTTTAGCCTCGTGAAAAATATATTTCAAACCCGCTAGAGAAATGTTACCAACCAACTGA